ACAAGTCATATGACTCGACTGAGTCATATGCACGAAACCCATGACATCATAATGAGGTCATGTGCCAAACATAAATCATATGCGCAAGGCTTGCCTGTAAGGCATACTCGTAAGGCATACTCGTCAGGCGCATGTCCCATGACTCATACTTGAGCCACGTGCGAAAGCATCACAAATCCCACACATAACTAATCATACAACCCGAATAGGTTATATGCGTGAAACAATAACATACCTGTGACTCATAACCTTGTGTCATGTGAAAACCCTTTCCTTACTAAGTCATGTTTGTGACAATTAGTGAGAGGTTGGTAGTCGGTAACAATAGTGAAGGTATTGCCCATCAGGATGTGGTTGAAAGTAGCGAGAGCATCGATCACTGCAAGGGCTTTCTTGTTTGTAGTTCCATAGTTCATTTGTGAATTAGTAAACTTCCTGCTGTGTAATGCTACCGGTCTTGCTGTTTCATGAGACGGTCCATATCTAACCCATGCTCCAACTCCAACATCTGATGCATCAGTAATCAGCCATATCGGGTCTGGTTTACTGCAGTTGATAGGCCACATAATATCGGCATTCTTAATCAATTCCTTGATGTTGGTAAAGGCTTGGTCATGAGTGTAAGTCCTGACAAATTCAGCATTGCCAGTAAGATCTGTGAGGGGTACTGTCACAGTGGCATCGTGTGGTAGAAATTGGGAGATATAGTTGACTAGTCCTAAGAATTGTATGAGTTCCTTTTGATTTCAGGGTGTTGTCCATTCTGTTAAATAAGATATTTTTCCTGAGGCTGCATGTATTCCATCATCATCTATCACATGTTCCAAAATATTGAGCTTGTCGGTAAACAGGATTGATTTGTTTCTGCTAGCATAGAACTTAGCTTCCCTTAGTGTAGGAGAAACCAAACCTATATAGTAGTGATGTTCCACTTTGTAGTTCGAGAAAATGAGAATATCGTTAATGTAAACCCATAGAAAATGGTGGAGGTATTTGCTTAGGAGGTTTTCCATAATTCGCATAAAGGTGGTGGGCGTATTCATATCACCTTTTAACATAAGTCGGCTAATGAAACTGCTGAAGGGTTTTTTGAAACAGTTATAGTGTTCTCTTTCTGGATCTAACCTTGTCTGAAAGTAGGCATTGCTTAAGTCAATCTTGCTTCGGAATCTCGCCCATCCAACTGCATTCAGGATTTGGGTTTGGATTGGGATAGCAGAGCTGCCTATAGCTGTGTATTCATTTCGTAGTTTGAGGTCAACCAGTGGTCAGATTCTGTTGCTGTCTGCTTTGGGTTGGACAAACATAGGTGCGACACCTGGTGCTTCCGCTTGGTAGATGACTCCTCTTCTTTATTGTTAGTTTATCTAGTCAGATAGCAGGTTTTTGTATGCATTAGGGATGGAGTAGGTAGGTTGGTTCTTAAGATTGGAGGAGTCTCGAAGGCGAATGTGGTGGTTCACTTCCGTCATAGGTAGTAGTTCTTCCAGCATCTGATCAGAGAAAACATCAGAGTACTTATCTAATAGTTATTGGGCACTTGCTTCACAGACTGTGGCTTGATATTCTCCGCTTGTTGGTTTGCATAAGACTCTGACCTTCTGATCTGGGAAATTGATGGTTGATTTCCCACATCTGATTATAGCTTTGTGGTGGTTCAGAAATGGTATCCCTATCAAGGTATTGTATTTGGCTAGGTTTCCAACTAGCATTTCCTGAGGGGGTAGGACAGTAGAGCCAACCCAGGTAGTTGCGCTATAAGTTTTATAGCTTGTGGATTGTGATCCTTTTACTGCCATATTGACTGGTATAGGCTGGTTAAGGTCTTGAGTTGGGAGTCCATGGACAGAAACAAAGGCAGTGCTGATCATGTCTCTCCCAATTGCGCCAGTGTCAAAAAGGACTCGAGCCTTGTTACCATTGATCAAAATATTACCTTCTAGGATGGTATGTGCTTTAAATATAGCAGCAGGTCAGATACTGTTGCATTCCACATCTATATATCCGATATGAATCTCCTAATATTCGCTGAATTGGACATCATCACTATTGCTCTCAATATAGTGGGCCGATGCCTCTTGCTTAATCGCCTTTCCTTTCCCTTTCTTTGTAGGGCAGTTCTTTATCATGTATCCCATTTTTCCACATTGAAAACATTCTCCTTTCTGTCGTCTCAATTCTTTAGAGGATTTTGTTTTCTTCTTGAAAACCTGTGAGGTATCTTCTTCACAGTTGTTGGAGGGCTTGTGTCGTAGTTGCCTGTTACTGATAGAGGAAGTCTGTATCTTGTATGCCTTGGTTTCATGGAGGATGGCGTCCTTTTATTCTGCCCTTCCAATTATTACTGAAATATCATCGTCATCTTCCTCAAGTGGCTCTACCTCTCCCTGGAGGGTAGGGTGCATGGCATCATAGAATCGTCGCTTAAGAATGTAGTTGGAGATGCTTTCTTTCTTCATTCTGTTTCTATATATCTGGCAATCTGTAGCTCTGTCTGTGATTCTTTTAACATATGTTCTATTGAGTTGGTGGAGCTGGTTGAATTTGTTGTATAAGAGGTCGTTTGTGATAGAGGATTGGAATCAGCCCTTCAGGTAATCGAAAACAGTGGATCTTTTCAATCTTATACTCCCGCTGTAGTTCTTATAGCATTGGTTGCATGCATCAGTTGCTTTTCCTTCTCAGAATGATCCAAGATATAGTCCAGTTATAGGATCTTCCACATCCTTTCCTTGTAGGAGAAGATAGAGTGTGAGTTCAGTTGCCCATCGATTAAAAACTTCAGGTTTGAAATCTTTTTCTTTTCTGGTGAACTTCGCTAGGAGGTGGAGTTTAAACTTAGGAGGTTCAAATGCTCTAGGTACTTCCTCTTCTTCAGGCTGAGCCCGAGATTTTGCTCCTCCTGAGGGCCCTCTTCCTGTACTAGCCATAGCTAATTCACTACTAGATTCGGGGTCAATCAGAGGTTCAAAAGAAGGCTTCTTTGCTGAGGTAGAAGGGAATTCTGCTGGGGGTTGTGTATCTTCTGTGTTTGCTGGTTCTCCAGGCTCCTTAGCGGAGCGCTGAGGGTATTTCTTTCTTGTAAGATCTTGCCATGGGATTTGCTTCCCACTCTGGGTTGTCAATGACTCTACATTGGTTTTGAGACAAAGCCGAATGTGTCCTGATTCTGCCACTTCTCTCTGCTAGCATTCTGAGGTGGATATTGATAGGTTGATGAGGCCTAAATTCAAAGACAGGTTCTTAACCACTTGTGGAGGTTAAAAAAATTTAACATGTTCGCAAAGTGCTAGTCATGTTATCGGTAAATAGTATGATAATTAGCAGGTAGCCTACTCTACCAGAGAGGAGGTGAGAGCTGAGAACTAAAGAAGATTTTGAAGGTAAACTGAGAAACAAAGAAGTAACCATTCAACCAAGTATATTGAAATACTGTCTGTCGAAGTCTGCCTTTTCCATCATGGAAGAAGGCGGTTTTTAAATACACAAATCTTGTTCATGTCTAGCATAAACGAAACTAATCAAAGGTATCAAGCGATACTCTTTAGTAAAACAAACCAAGTATCAAAACAATACTTAAAACAATACATGAAATAAAACCAAGTATCAAATGATACTTAAAATAAACCATGTATTAAAGTGATACTTAAAACAAAACATAAAACAAAATCAAGTATCAAACGATACTTAAAACAAACCAAGTATCAAAGCGATACTTAAAACAAAACATAAAATCAAACCACGTATTAAACGATACTGAAAACAAACCAAGTATCAAAGCGATGCTTAAAACAAAATATATAACAAAACCAAGTATTAAACGATACTTAAAACAAAACATAAAACAAAACCAAGTATCAAAGCGATACTTAAAACAAAACATAACAAAACCAAGTATCAAACGATACTTAAAATAAACCAAGTATCCAAGCGATACTGAAAACAAAACATAAAATAAAACCAATAACCGAGTACCTGTACCGGTTACAAATCTTGTCAGAATATACCTCTACCTTCACACATTTGGACCCACAAGAAAAGCATTGACTTGATCCATGGTAGCTTGACACTGCTTACTTTCTGATGAGTAAGCTCCGCACTTGTCATATTTGACCAGTATATATACCCTTTTGCGATAATATTTGTAACTGTTTTACTATCAACACCATAGACAATAGCAAGCGAGGCATTCATTGCAGATTTTCCACCATTCAGTGGAAACTTTTCTTTATAAAGTTCAAACTTTGAGGTTTTTATGCTTTGTTCTTGCTTGCTATTTGGATGTGAGCAAACTTTGAGTACACTTTGCGGAGATTACTGATGTGTTCGGCATGCTGAAGAGGAAGGTATTTTCCCATATGAATATCAGAAGACAAACTCAAATTTGAAAGATGCTTTGTTTTCTGTTAGCTTTCTCACCAACTATTTATCTTCTAAAAACTGATCTAACTCTTCTACTTCTATAACCATGCCTCCGATCTTTCATAGGAAGTTGAATGAAAAAATTTTCATGCAAATGAATTTTGGAATTTAGTGGCTTTTACTGCCTGAAAAGAGAAACCAATAGAAGCTTAGAACTTAGAGAGGAAAAGCTCATAGAACAAAGCTTGTCTCCTATGAGAAACAGAAATATGGGAGACCTGGAAACATTGGAGGGTGGAGTTATCGGAGGTTTCACTGTAGTACAAGCACTCGAGTATTCGCACAGTATCGGTATGATAAGTTTATTATTAGGATACTCGTATCATACTTGTATCAGAATCTGAAAATACGCTTACCGGTACCAGTATTACCGTTACACGCAACCACCCAACCAGCGAAAGAGAGAGAAAAAGAAAAACCTTGACCCATTTTTAGATACCGACAGATACAAGCATCGGACTGTAAGCTACCGGCCCTTGTACAGTATGATACCAGTACCAGTACTTGTATCCCACTGCGCGAGTACAAGCGTAATCCACAATTGGCATCTTGGAACTGGTACCCGCTTCTGGCTCACACTATTCAAACAACCCCCCATTTTTTCACCCACCCACCCACTCACTCACGTAACGAGAAACGCAATGAACGACGATTCGAAAAATCCCCCAAGAAGCTGTACATCCTGCCGAGCGCGCAAGATCCGCTGCGACAAGGTGAAGCCTTCCTGCCACGCCTGCCTCAGAAACCGCCTATCCTGCGAGTACCCAACCGCAACACGACGCGCGGCACCGCGGCCGAGGCGGGATGCCGTGCTCATGCAGCGGCTCGTCAAGCTTGAGGCCATCATCGGGGAGTTGTCTGGTGTTGGCGGTGGTTCTGCTGTGGGGGAGTTGGGCGGCGCTAGGAGTGAGAGTGACACTCGTGGTAGGAGTTTGGAGGCGTGGGGGAGTCAAGGCGGGAGTGGGGATATGACGAGGGAATCGGGAGAGGTGGAGGCCGAGTTGGGGAAGTTGTTTGTCTCGGAGGGCAAGTCGAGGTATATCGGCCCCAAATTTTGGGCAAGCTTGATTGAGGAGGTGGGTTTCGAATTTTTATTTCTACTCGTTACCTTTGCCTCGTTTGTGCTTTGTTCGGCGTGATCGATCGGTGAGGTTGGCTGCAGAGATTGGCTGCATTAAATGGTTATGGGCCCCGGGTCTTTTGCACACAGTTGACCCTTTAGCAGCTTGATCCACTGTTTCACCATGCGAGTGGATTTCTTGGTTTAAGTCATGCTTTAGCTAGTTTTGGCAAAGAGTGAACATACATCAACGACTACAGTTCTAACCTTATATCTGCTGGTAGGTGGCCGACCTCAAATCCCTCCTTGACGAGTCGCCTCCAGCAACTGTCGCCTCCCCAACATCACCGGATGCAACCTCCAGCGTGCCCTCGTCCCCCCTCTTCGGGTCCGCCACCGAAAACCTGTCAATGTTCCACCCTACTCCCACCGAATCTGTCCAGCTGTACAAAAGATATCTCGTCGCTGTCGACCCGGTAGCACGGCTTTTACATAAGCCAACCTTTGAGCCAAAGTTGGCGAGACTACAAGAAAATGGCCCTGAATCAGAGGATCTGCATGCGGATAGAGGATTTGAAGCTCTCGTTTTTTCAATCTATTATGCCGCGGTTAACAGCCTTCGCCCGGATAAGGTGCTGCAAATGTTTGGCGTAGACAAACCGAGTTTACTGAACAGATATCGTGTAGCTGTAGAGCATGCACTGGCTAACGCTGGATTTCTACAAAGTGAAGAATTGACGACACTACAAGCCCTTGTCCTATTCATCGTAAGCCCTCAACCCCGTTTCCTAGAGTGAATCCGAACTAATAATCAAAGACCTGCTCCCGAGCTGTAGATGACACTCGAACTCCATGGGTGCTTGTTGGCGTAGCAATTCGGATAGCACAAAGCATGGGCCTTCATAGAGACGGCTCAATTTTCCGCATAAACCCCTTAGAAACCGAAATCAGGCGGAGACTTTGGTACGAAATATGTTTGCTCGACTTGCGAACAGCAGAAGCCCATGGCTCCGACCCGGGTATATCCACCCAGAGCTATGACACCCGGTTACCGCTCAACATAGAAGATGCCGACATTCTCCCTAATTCCGCTTATCCAATAACCCCGAGAAAGGGCTTCACCGAAATGACCTTCTGCCTAGTGCTCTACGAAGTCCTAGATTGCTTCAGGGTAGTGGTTAGATCTACGCCTGGAGCAGTTAAAGTAAAAGGAGTCGAACAACCCACATTAGAAGAGAAGGAAAAGATGTTGGATGAATTAGCTTTGAGATTAGCAGCAAAGTATCAAGTAGAGCTGGACCTCACTATTCCCATCCAGAAGATAACAGATATGGTTATCCGGCTGATCGTGGGGAAAGCCTTGCTGTCTTTGTACCATCCATTAAGACACTTTAAAGATGGCTCGCTGTTAAGCCAGGGGAAAAAGGACAAGTATGCTTATTCCCTGAGCCATGCATGAAGCAATGCTAATCCCAGAAGACTGTTCCGGACAGCGGTGGAAGCTTTAGAGTGCTCCACATCCCTTGTACGAGATCCTGACGTTGTACGGTACGAGCAATGGAATTGGCTCTCCCAAAAATACAACCATGCACAAGCAGCTAGTCTCGTATTATCCGAGCTTGTAGTGAGGCCACCGTTTGGCACAGATATGGTGGAGAGGGCGTGGGTGGCGGTGGACTTGCTCTTGGGTACCGAACCTTGGAGTCGGGAGAACCCCATCATGGCGGAGAGAGTGTGGAAGCCATTGGGCAAACTCAGGGATAAGGCGCTCGCTAGGAGAAGGAGAGCGCTACAGGAGACGGGAATGGCGCAGAGGCAGAAGCCAAGCGCATCGCTGTCGATAGGAGAAAGTGATATTTGGGAAGGAATAGTCGTTGAGGATGTGCCCATAGATTGGGTGAGTTATCGTGATCACCATCGCTACCTGTGAATGCTGAAATATACTGATCATAAATAGGGAGAATGGGACGAAATGTTTCAATACATCGATGAACATTGAGTAGAAACGCTTCATCAGGGAGACAGACTTTAAGCTTGGTGGTAGACGCAGGATGGATAAGGGTAAATAACTTTTAACGAGCACCAGCAATAGGTTAATGATGCAATAATAAAGCCACAATAACAGAATTAATTACTTGTACTCCCGGAATCGCAGCTTCGGTTACGGGACCATACCGTACAGTACATGGGATGCCCCAATGTCCATCATAACAATGTCATTAAAGTAATCTCGATATTTTATTATTCAACTTCCTTACCGCACAGGGAGTATCTTCAAATACGACACCTTACCATCATATCCTAATTTCTAGCCTCCCCCCCCTTTTCAATCCGCCTATCCCTCCTTCTTTCCTCTCCCGATCCATCCACAACCAACATTCCGTTGTTACGCAAAAACCAGTCGGCGACCAAACCAAATGCCGGCTTCGCCGACATCGGTCAATCCTCAGCAAAAGTATGGCAACCAAGACACCTTACATTAGAAGCCTCCTATTACCCCAATCAAAAAATGTTCCGCCGTTGAGAACGTGCTTGACAGAAACGGGTCCCCACGCGCTATTTACCTACCGGTACTCGTACACGGCTTGAACCCACCCTCAGAACTCCGCAAGCTCATAACATGACTGGTTCACATTGCCCGTGGCTCGCGCACTTCAGGCACGAGCTGCGGTATTGTACCTGTAACTTGTCTCGCGGCCTCCGGGAGTTCAAGTCAGTTTTTTTTTTCCTTTTTTTTCCTGCTCGGCGACTTGGTTATTTACACCGAATGTGTACGCACATGTGTGCGTATCGTACTGCGATACCGGTATGAGTTAAGTCCCGGCCCTTTCAGGAGTTCAACGCGATATGATATGATATGATAAGTTACGGCATAATATCGTATGCGCTTCCAATATAATTTGGAGTTTATGGTATGTTGCTTGGCAGGTGGAGCCAGAATGACCCACGATCCAATTACTATTAAACCAACGCTTTTAGTTCGCGGGGAATGTCCTGGTTCTGTGGCTCGCTGATCTGGCTTTCGTTATTATAAATGTTCGCCGAATAGAGAGAATGGGATGGCGAAGTACTGTGGTAAAAGAAATAAAGCGAAAAAAAAACAAACAAGGGAAGTTCTCTCCGCGAGTCTAAGCATTCTCTCTTGAGGACATACAAAAGGGATCAGAAACCCCCTACCGGTATGTATAGTCATTCTATGATATTTTGTCTCACAAAGGTGCGGGCGCAATAGTACTGTAACCTTCCTCTTCCTCAATTCCCTTTTGTTCTTTTCCGAGACAGGTTGCTTTTTTGAGCAAAGTGCTGGAGAAGGCTGGGTCCGAACAACTTTTCGTCATAGACATTCGAGAGGCCTATTTTGAAAAGAAAAAAAGGAAAGACGATTCTGTATCTTAAAGAAAAGATATAAATTCCACCTATTTCGAACGGCTTCTCCTTCCTCTACCGAAATGTTTACTCCCGTCGAATCGTCGTTCGGTGCTTTCTTGCTACACCTAAGTACCACGCATCTACTGTTGGGGAATGGTCAAGTGCTAGGTGCTAGTGGGGCTCTGGGGAGTGCATTCTGGAAACCGGATGGACATAATATACCCCTGCTAGCAGGTATGGGAATTAGTGCTCTGGGGACTTGGTACCTCGATGCGTGGTGGAAGCCGTCGTATGCTGGGGCACCAGAGGTATTTGGGAAATGGACCTGGGTAGTTTGTGGATTGCTGGTTGGAGTTGGGACGAAGGTTTGTTTGCTCTCTCTTTTGTTTTGATTTTTTTTAATATGTCACCTTTGTCCGTTCGTGGGTTTATTTTTGCTATATAGTCTACCGTCCCGCTTGCTCAGTTCTCTGGGGCGTCGTTACTAACACACCTCCCCTAGTACTCTAATGGTTGCACTTCTGGGCACATGCTCTGCGGCATCCCACTTGGCCGCCTCCGCTCCGCCGTTGCGGCCGTAACTTTCTCAGCAACATGTCTCGTCACCGCCACCGTCGTGGGAGCATACACCGAGTCTCCATGTGGAAGCACACCATGCTACACTGTAACCTACCCTACCCCTACCCGCATCGAGCAACTAGTCGCCATCACTGCAGCTGCCACGGCAATAACACGTGCCTCCCTCCCCCTCCTCCGCAAACTCCCACAACGCACAGCGGAGATAATCACTTCTCTGTGGTCCGGCGGACTCTTTAGTCTTGGCTTGATGGTTGCCGGTATGGCGAACCCGACAAAGCCTTTGGGCTTCTATTCAATGATCACGGACGGCGGGAGGCGCTGGGATCCGTCCTTCCTCATGATTCCCATATTCGCATTGCTCCCGAATTTCCTGATCTGGAAAAGGGTTGTTGGAAAGGCTGATGCCGCACCGAGGGGAGGGTGGAAGGTGCCCACTAAGAAGGAAATTGACTTCAAGCTGATTGCCGGGTCGGCGGTGTTCGGAATTGGGTGGGGGTTGTTGGGTGTTTGTCCAGGGCCTGGGATCGTAGGTGGATTCCTGGGCGGTTGGAGGGGAGCTAGTTGGGTTTTTGGATTTGTGCTTGGGAGATATTAATATCGCCTTTTCACAAATGGGATGGTTGTAATGCTTTCTTTGACCCACCTCGGATTCGTATTCGCGTTCTTATATTATTTTTCATTCTATTTCATGTCAATACTTTTCACTCAGGAAGAATCTCTTTGCTTTTGTTCTGTCTTTTCTACCCCTCTTCCTCTGTGCTGCCAGTTGGCACCTGCTATCTGACCGAAATTGTACATAATGCGCATATACACATATCAATACTCGTTCCAGGTTCCGACCCCGCCGATATGTTGTGCCGTGCTAACCCACATATCAAAGTTTATCGACTACAATACAAGTACTAGTGACCGCAATCCCGGCCCCATCGGATCCGTCTTATTTCTCCAACGCCCCCCTCCCTTTTCCCCTGCATGACAGAAGCTTGCTGGGTGGACAGTCGCCGTACTCACGCAGTACCAGCGCAAGGGAGCTAAGTTGAACGGACCGGAGCTCCTGGAATTTCCATGCTTCGCGGTTGAAGTTGCTAGCGCGGAGATGAGGGTTGTTGGGATAGACAGATACTAGTAGGAGGGCGGTGTTACGGGGGATGAAGGGTACTGTAGGGTGTGTGGGAAAGAGGGATTGAAATATATCGCCAATCATCCATGTGTATCGATGCGCGCAAACAAAATTATCCCCTCACTGTTCGGGCACTGTACAGTACAGTACTAGCACAAGCACTTGTATGGTAAGGGACCTCTGTGGTCGGGGAAAGCATGCGGACATTCATCCTCCCTTAGCAATAGTATGTTAATGTGCCAAGAATGGTCTAGGAAATTGCTCATTAGCTATCTGCACGAAATATAATAACAGTAATTAACATCTGACATGTTCTGGACATTCACCGACTTCAACCAAAAGTTCAACCTATTCTTAAACTCCAATATCTCCGTGAAAGCCTGAGATATTTGTTACTTTCTCTCTATTAATGTGTAGGGAATCACCTACTTGATCATACAATAGAGCCATAATTCTCATGAGAGTGGTTGTTGAAAATCCTTTGGGATCGAAATTGAGCCACGCTTTTTCAGCAAAGTACTCCGGCTACAGATTGTCCCTCACCATTCTTCTTGCCTTGGACGAGTTATCCCTTAGTCTCTCGTGTGCAGCGCCCAAGACATCTGGCTTAGAAGATGGCGAGATCTGGAGGTTATTCTTTCTAAATTGAAATAAATAACTATAGTTTCAAATCGTGGGCTTTTCTAGCCGTCGTTTGTTGGGCGGACGGAAATCCCTCTCTCCCATTAAGCTTAGATTTATTCGCAAATGCAGAAGAATCCTAGAAAACACTCTAACTCAAGTTGTTGTATGGTGATGGGGTGTATGTGGGTTATGGGAGGTTGTCTGGACTGGATGCCGCACTGTATTGTACCGTAGTTACGGTTTATATTTTTGTAAACAGGAACTTAGCATAGGAATGGGCCGCGCGGAAACGAGACTACTATACATTAATACTAATAACGGTGGGTACCCCTGCGAATGGCAAAAAAAAACAGATCACATGACCATGTTTAGTCAGCCTGCATCAGAGGAAAATAAAATAAAATAAAGGAATAAAATAAAATACAATGAAGTAAAAATTTAACAAAGTATAATAAAACAAAAAATATAATTAGAGAAATATAACTAACCTAATAAAACTATATTTCTTAATACTATGAGAAATGTGATATAAAAGGTAAACTCAAGTTAGAGAGTATTTCTGTTTGGAAAATGTTCAAATTTCTATTATAGAAACTCAGAGTCAGCTTTAATTTGATTTACAATTCTATATATAGTATAGCTATTGTCTTCTTCTAACATAGGTCTTCATACACCACAGTAACTTGATATACATCTAATGTTTATCCTAATTTAAATAGTATTATAGACAAAAATGATAGGATCAAAGAAAATACTGTATAACAATCCTACACCTCTGTACTTAGTTCTTCAACAGGTAAAGATGTTCCCTCTTTAGTCTCTCTAATACCTGGAGAGCTTGGAGAATTCCTACAGTCAGTATCAATTCTAATAGCAAGGACAATATTGTACTCACATTACCTCTTGTAAATGAGACTTTTTTTCTCACATAACATTGCACAAGTATGAAGTAAGTATTAATTCAACTTGTAGTATAGGAAAGAACTTAAGTAATTATGTGAGGAGTCTTTACCATGAGTCCTTTTTTTTTTTTTTTTTTTTTATAATCATGTATTCATTATTTAGGTACAAGAACTCGCATGTAGCGGTAGCTATGGCGTAAACAAAACCTTAATCCCAAAACAAACAATAACAAAAGAAGCCAAACTAGTGCCTCCAAAAAGTGCTAACAACCCATATCGCAAGGCGGATAAACAGCTAGGTATAAAGGGAAACATTCAAATAAAACAAAAAGAAATCCTACAGACAAGGAAACCAAAAAAGGTGTATCTTCACGCCATGGCTGAGGTCGAGGGTGAGGAGCTGAGTGAGGAAGTAGGGCTCGCGACGGGGTGGCCCCCTGAGGAGGGTACTCTGAGTGCAGGCATTTCCGGGGTGAAGCCGACCGAAGTGGCAGAGATGTAGGCGGATAGGCTGTGAAGCAGTTCCGGCGATGTCCAGATGCGTTCCCCTTCGTCCAGGCACTCAACTCCCGGGAGGTGGGCATCTCTGGCTCTGTCGTGCGAGGGGCATTCGAGAATGGTGTGATGGAAAGACTCAGGCTCCTCCTTGCAGTAGGGGCACGTGTCGAGGGCATCCGGGTCTCTCCAGGAGTGGTGGCTGGCCAGGTAGCTCTTTCCTGACCTCATCTGGTAGATTCTGCCCGCTATGAATTTTCCCAATCCCATGAAGGGGTGGGGCAACAGAGTGGGCAAGTAGACTTATTGGGGTGGTGGCAGGTACTGTTTGGTCCATACATTTAGGAGGAACTGACGACAGCCTTTCTTGAAGGCTAGGAAAGGAGGATTGCCAGGGGCCTCAGGGGGCAGGGGCTTGGGAAGCAGGGCAGGCGATGCTGGTGTGACCCTAGAAAGATGACTGACAAGCTTGCCCACACGATGGGCTATTGCATCAAGTGGGAGATGAGTCCTTACCGGAGGGGATGGCTTGAGGGTTTTCCAATTTAGGGGCCTGTAGCCTGGCGTAAGCCCAACTGTCAGGGCATGGTGGTCCTCCAGGAAGCGGTAAGAAGAGGTAGTAGGGAAGGAATAGTGCAGCTGTGCAGTGGCCGGATTTCTCTCTGGGGGGAGGCACACCATCCTCAGGGCCGCCAGGTACTGAGGGTGCTCAATAAGGCATTGTATCGGGGGAAGGGCTGACTCGCAGGAGAGGATACCAGTAGGGATCTTGGAGAAGCAGTTTGTGACCCATCTCTGGACCTGTTTCCAAAAGACAGCAAGCCGATCGGTCATGGTTGCTGAGGGGGAGAAGAGATCTGCACCGAAGAGGAGTATGGGTGCGAGGAGGGAGGACGCTAACCTGGGGCAGAGGAAGGGGGCAAGCCCCTTACCAGGACCCGACAGCCTCTTAAGCATGGAGAAGGCACCCTGGGCAAGTGCTAGACGTTTTGAGAAGTGGGTGTTAGTAGCCCACCGGAGAGAACAAAAGGCTGGCTCAAACCAGTGGCCGAGCCAACGGACTACCCCAGAGGGGCGGAAAAGGAGTCCATCAATGACTATTGGGAGAGTTGAAGCGAGGTTCCTTTGTCTGGATGTCCTCCAGTATATGAGTTCTGTTTTGGGTATAGAGAAAGAGACCCCAAGATGCCTACCCCTTTGAGTTAACATCTTGACTAGATGTTGGAGGCGCTGGACATTCCTTCTGTAGGAGTTGGAGGCAATAGTCACAGCAAAGTCGTCCACATAGGACGGGATTAACCCACATGGTAACAGGAAGTGGAGGGACGAGACATAGATGACGAACAAAAGAGGTGATATTGGTGGGCCTTATGGAGTTCTAACCTGAACTGGTTTGAAGACCCTGGGCGATTCCTGGAAAACGAGACGGCATTGCCTCCCTGTCAAGAAGGACCTAACCCAGGAGCAGAGGTAAGGAGGTATGCCCTTTGAATGGAACATATGGAAGAGGTCGTTCGGGGAGACATTGTCAAAGCCTCCCTTGATATCAAGGAACAAGGTGGACGCAACCATCTGGGGCCGTTGCAGCATTTGAACTTGGTGAGCCAGAGTTGCGCAGGTATCGAAAGTGCTAAGCCCCAGAAGGGAGCCACATTGATGGGGATGGAGCAGGCCCAGTGACCTAGCCAAGGGTGAGAGGGGATTTGCGATTATCATCTTCTTGATTTTGGAGACCGTTTCAAGGAGGAAAATTATTCGGAAAGAAGCAGGTATGTCATAGGATTGTTTGCCTGGTTTGTCCAGGACTATACCATTCACCATCTTGAATGAAGCTGGGTGGAAACTGAATGAGACCAGCGGAGAGAGAGAACTCAATCAGCAAAGAGGGACGGGATATATTAATCTTCTTCCAAATGGAGTATATAAAAGGGTGGGGATAAGGAGCTGGGATGGATGAGGACTTGCTGAGTACCGCGGCTATCTCTTCTGCCCATAAGGGGGGTGCATCTTTGAAGGCCCTGAGAATAGGCGGGCAGAAGGTGGGGGGCCTAGGAGGGAAGAAGTGGGAGAGCAGGGAGTCGTTCAGCTCCATGAATGAGGTTGCCTTTGGAAGGGACGGGAAATGCTCTGGGGGCTTTCCGAAGGCGAACCTTTTTGCCATCCACAGGTTTTGGGGGGTATCACTCTCCAGAAAACGTGTCCAGTGCTCCTTCTTAACCTTCTTGATAGCCTTGAAGTAGGCATTTTTGGCCAAGTGAGCGGAGGCCTGAGTATTATTTGAAGGAGATGTACGCGCCTCTCAGGCAGGGGAATAATGGACTTTCCTCAAGTCAGACAAGGTGTCGGACCACCAAGGTTTTGATCTGGTGGAGGGCCTTTACCAGGAGTCCTTTTTTTTTAATTTTTCTTTTCTTTTTATAATTATGTATTATTGTTTAGGTACAAGAACTCGCATGCAGCGGTAGCTATGGCGTAAACAAAACCTTA